GGGACCTGGCAGATCCCCATGCACTAAACAGAAGTTAAAGAATTGAAAAGGGTAGGGAGGGTGGGGCACGTAAACAAGAACAAACAGATTGTAGAACTGGGGGAACATATATAGATAAGAACCGGAAGGAGTGTGTTTGGAGGCGTGGTCCTGCTCCTGAAATTCAGATACTTTGTCTCCAACAAGAACTGCCAATAATGTTAGTTCTAGCTAGCTAGCTGTTAGCTAGGAGCCAGGACCTTGCCTGTAAATTCATGTACTACACGAAGAAATACATATGAGGATGGTGCATTAAAAGCATGCTAATCCAAGCTGAGACACTGAGTTTAAATGGGTCAGGCTTTGTTGCCCAGTTGCAGTGATGCTGGAATCTGGTTCTGTGAACCAGAACTGGTTTGCCAAAGAGAAGAAACTGACTCTTTTTAAAGTGTAAAAATTGCAGTTGAGGAAACCATCGTTGTTGGACACAAAGCCACTGTGGTTCATGTGAGCCAGTAGACTTAATCAACATCGGTTTTACAGCCTTTTCTCTAAGTCGAGACATTACCAGAGTCTGCAGTACAGCACCAAAGTAAGAGCTGTGGTGGAGCATCTGAGTTACATCATTAAGGTTTCTTCTAATGAAAGAGAGACACTGTGGAAAACTACTGGAACTGGACGTATTCACATCTTTTAATTTGAAAATCCATGGTTATGTTAACGATTAGATTTGAACTTATACGAATGTCAGCTATCAGCAATGTCTCCATCCCCTTTGATCGCAGCTGATACAGGCTTTCATCATTTGAATATTTCATAATTTTAACAAATAAAAGCAGCATTTTGTGTTTGGAGACTAATATGTAAATGTGACATTTGATGGTGTGCATCCTGACTTTTAATGATCTGCTTGGAAGCATCTGTACCAATCAGTGATGATTATTTGAAACTGTTTAAGTGCTTCTCTTAAATTTTCTGCAGCCACTGAGGACATTTGCATCAATTATGACCAACAGGAAAAACTGGTGTGATATGTCAGTCTTTTATTGTAAGTGCACAGCTGATTAGTTTCATCAGAGAAGTTCACATAGATATCACATTTCTACAATTACAGTATATTCTATTATAGATGACTCTTGGTTCTGTACACACCTAAGACACAGCAGTGCTTAAGGCTATATATTCTGTCGAACATGCTGTAGTTTACAGTATTAACATTATCGCCGTGAAGAACATCCCAAGTATGTGATGGTGCTTCCTTTTGTTTAGAGCAGGGGTGTCCAACTCCAGGCCTCGAGGGCCGATGTCCAGCCGGTGTCCTGCCGGTGTCCTAAGATGTGTCCTTGATCCAACACAGCTGATTTAAATGGCTAAATGACCTCCTCAACATGTCTTGAAGTTCTCCAGAAGCCTGGTAATGAACTAATCATTTGATTCAGGTGTGTTGAGCCAGAGTGAGAGCTAAAACCTGCAGGATACCGGCCCTTGAGACCTGGAGTTGGACACCCCTGATTTAGAGAAAACAACAGATATTGTATGCATATTAGCTTTAAGACGTTCCAAACCTGCGGTGCTTTGGGTTCCTTGAGGGGAAAAATGTTCAGTTCACGAGTCCTGGACAAACGCACACACCCTGACAGCTAATGTCAAAGGAACATCGTAGACTTGATCGTAAGGATTGCTTGCAAGACAGAGACGGACAGCTTTGTAGATCTGTCTGGAACCAAAATGAGTGAAACACAGTAGATCTACATTTATCTAAAAGGAGTCCTCTGCTCCTGAAGTTCTTTGACTGCTGCTGACAGAATAGTACAACAGCCCCCTGCACATGAGATAGAAACAGGAAACTCTAAATCTTACTGTGCAATGTCAAAGTTTTGGATTCCCTGCATGTTAAATAGGAGAGCGTGCATGAATCATTTTCTGGATACTCTCTGGTTTGTTTAACATGTCAGTTTGTTTGATGAAAGAATAAAAGAAAAAAAAAATTAAGAACCTTGCCATGTTCCTGATCCTTTGTGATCTTAGCTAGTCGACATGACTCATCAATGTCTGTCATCTCAATCCAAAAGCATTTCAGTTTTTTATTAATGAGAAATCATCTTTTATGGCTCCCAAGCCAAGTGTCATTAGCTGTCTCTTACAGCCTGAAAAGACGGTGCACTTGGATTTTATTTTTTTTCATCGAATAACAATTAGAGAATAACAGAAGAACACATTTCACACTTAAATCAGTCATCGTCCACTGATGGTCCAAAACATTTCAGCGAGAAAAGCAATTTTTGTTCCTGTCATCAGGCGGTAGCATGGCTCTTCCCTAGCTGCTGATCTTGGTCAGCATCTTGTTGATGGCCTGTTTGACATGAGTGGTGGAGCTGCGGCGTCTGGCTTTTCCCTGAACAGCTTTGCGGCGTCTCACCTCTCTGCAGAGCTCGTGGAACGCCTCGGCCACAGCGCCGCCCTCGTCGGCACAGGCAGAGCATTCGTAGAAGGCACACGCCATTTCGGCTGCCAGCCGCTCTCCTTCCTCTGTACCGACTTGCCGGACGTGGTCCAGGTCAGACTTGTTGCCCACCAGAACCAGAGGAACGTTCTTCGGTTTCTTCACCTCCTCTAGGAGGCTTCGGAGCGGCCCCACCTCCTCAAAGCTTCCCCGATCCGTGATGTCATACACAAGGACAAAGCCGTCACCCCAACGCATGTGACCCTCCCTCTGCTGGATGTCCTCCTGAGAAGAAGACAAGACACATGGTGCTGAAGCTGATGATTTAGAGTTTTACAGATTTTCCCATGTTTTTAAATAAAATGATGATGTAATGATGATTCATATCTATTTTATGTGTGAAGCTTTAAGTCTGTAGAGACTTTGCTGAACAAATCCATGTTAGCAGTTCCTGTTTCCAGTTCCTAAATTAAGCTAAACAACTGTAGCTTTTTGTTTTTGTTTTGTTTTTTTTTACTGTAAAATTATCATAAAACACCAACCAAAGAAAATCTCAGGTAAAAATAACAGACGGAGCAGCTGGAGAATTTCAGATGTGCTGCCTTTACCTTTGGGTCCAGTGAAGCTGTAAAAGTCATACTAGCATTTTCCTGTTTGTAGATTTATGTTGATAATGTAGTTTCTCTCTAATTTTCCCACCAAGAAAACTTTTCATTTAATATTTTTGACTCAAATATTATTTAAACAGAACAGGCTGCAGTCAGCTTCTTTAATATGCATATACATTTTTAGCTCTTGTTGTGTTTAAACATAAAAAGACGTGTAGTCCTTTCTGATCTAAGAATCATGTTTAGTTCCTAACATTATCTTTGCACTCTGCCACACCCTCTTAAGCCCTACATTGAATTCTGCAGCCATCTGTGGAATGCAAACACTCGAGCATGTGCTCTTAATTTGATCATGTGGCGGCAGAATCATCCATGACCGATCACACAAGACCTGCTTGGACTAGATAGGAGGCCCAAAGGCTCTGATCTCACAGTTACCGACAGAGGAAGCTGAACAATTTATCGAAGAGTGGCCACATTTTTCAAAAATAGAATATTATGAACCTGAATGGGGGGGGGAGAATGTTTTGCATGTGCATAATATACAAACAATATATATCTGATACAGTATGGTTGTGTAAGCCGTGAGACCAGTTTTCCCGTGATTCACTCGCGTACATCAGTTTGAAGAGGAAAAAGAACTCCATGGGACTCCGATGTGAAAAGATGTAACAAAAATTTTATTCCACAGTTTTTGCATCTTACAGGAGTGGTCAGGTTTAACTTGTCCTCAACAAAATAACCTACTACGGTAGGAAAACCGTGTGGCTCTGTTCTACCCTGCTGCCCCATATAGCTTATGCCGTGTTAACTCCTTTTCTCTCTCTCTCCCCCCTCCCGCACCTAAAACATATGAACTATCTT